CCTACATTTTCAGAGTTGTTCCTCTTTGATCAGTAAGGGTCTGAGAACAACATCGATTTTAAATTGTACAGAGTTTTTTGTTTGTTTATTGTTGTTTTATTTAATTAAAGAAGAAAAAACAATATTTATATCGTAAATGCACAGGTTATAATAAAGACTATTAATCAGAATGTTATATAGCCAATTGTACATGATGAGAATTTCGGCAATGTAAAATAAAATTTTCAAGAAAAAAATACTGCGCTTTAATCAAGAATACAATTTATTGTATATGAAATGAAATACATTTTTAAAAGAGATGGTATTTTACGTCTTGCTTTTAAATCCGGTTAATTAAAAAAAATACTTATGGACTGAGTATATAAGTACTCATAATCACAGCCAAGCCCCATATCAAATTTTTCTTTTATGATTGATATACATCGGGATCGTTTTACTCGTCATTTTGACGCTTTATTTTTGACGTTAAATTTGACGTCACATCAAACGTTCAATTGAAATCGCAAGAGTTATCTCCCCCAGTGTGTTGTACGTCTTTAAATTGCCTTTTTAATCTACCAAATAGGGAATTATATAAGTATATCTATGCCCCCATTCAAAGAAGGAAGGGCATATTGCTTTGCTGCTGTCTGTTGGTCCATTTACTAGTTTCCGTCAATTTTCTTCCCAACCGTTGCACATACTGAAAGAAATTGATATACAGTAAAACTCGGTTATAACGAAGTCACTGGGACCTATAAATTACTTCACTATAACCATAATTCCTTATAACCTTATAAGAAATTCATTAAATTTATATAGCTGGGGATCCAAGATGAATTCGCTATATCTGTTAATTCGTAATATCTGTGCTCATACTAAATGAGTTTTACTCACAGTACAGATTTATCACATGTATACCTAGGTTAAGTTCTTTGCAGAGGCTGCACATATTGAAATGAAATTTGGTATACTGATTTATCTGCTGGTTTTGTTTTGGGTATGAGTGCACCATTTTTGTCAGAGTTATGCCCCTTGGACTTGGAAAAATTCTAATTTGGGGAAGGGGGGCATAAGTGTTTTACAAATTTTATATCTCTTGTTAGCTCACCTGAGCCAAAGGCCAATGTTAGCTCACCTGAGCCAAAGGCCAATGACCCCTGGGGCTAGGTTGGGGCCAAAATGGCCGATCAAAGTTTTACATACAAATATGTAGGAAAAAATCTGTAAAAATCTTCTTCTCAAGAACCACTGGGCCAGGAAAGATGAATCTCATGTAGAATCACCCTCAGGTAGTGTAGATTCAAATTTGTTCAAATCATGACCCCTGGGGCTGGGGTGGGGCCAAAATGGTTGATCAAAGTTTTAAATAGGAATATATAGGAAAAATCTTTAAAAATCTTCAACTCAAGAACCACTGGGCCAGGAAAGATGAAACTCATGTGGAATCATCCTCAGGTAGTGTAGATTCAAGTGTGTTTAAATCATGACCCCTGGGGTTAGGGTGGGGCCAAAATGGCTGACCAAAGTTTTATGTAGGAATATATAGGAAAAATCTTTTAAAATCTTCTTCTCAAGAACCAATGGGCCAGGAAAGATGAAACTCATGTGAAATTATCCTCAGGTAGTGTAGATTCAAGTTTGTTCAAATCATGGCCCCGGGGCTAGGGTGGGGCCAAAATGGCTGACCAAAGTTTTACATAAGAATATTTAGGGAAACCTTTTGAAAACTTTTTTTCAAGTACTTCAAAGCAGGGCTCCCACTGGATCGAAAATATTTTTCGCCATTTTTCACGACACAAGCTTGAAGGAAAGGCATACTTACATCTGATTTCTCGAATGCAATGCACTTTTTGTTATTCAATTTTTTTTATTATATTTATCTGACACAGACATTGTTTTAAAATTGTAATGTTTAAAGCTTATGGTAGTATCCATTAAAAAAATAATAATAATAATGTTTGAATTACACAATTAATTTAATATTGTATTGATATCAGCCAACTCTTGACAGAAAATGTCCTTTTGATTATATTTTTTTTTGCCTGGTAAGGAGGGGGGGGGGGGGGCTACAGACCTAGTAAAAATATGACATTTTTTAAAAATGGAAATTTTCATCATTTCATTAATTAATTGTGAAAAGAAGTAAATTAAAAAGTAATGAAAATTAGGTTTGAAACTTGACTTTATTTTATAAACAATTTGGAGACTCCAGGGTTTAATATGCAAGCTCATGTTATTGTAAATATAACTAGAAACTCTTGTTGCTACAGCAACAAAGAAGGTCTTCCGTTCTCCTCTATTTATCTATATGAATGAGCTTTTATCTATGTTAAAAAGGCATATAATATTTTAAATGATTTCAGGAAAACAAACAGCCAGAGGTGTAACTTACCAAGATTCTTTACATTACTTTAGACAATTATAGTCTTGATACCATGTACAAAAATCATTTTCAATTTTTTTTATCACTTCCTGTGACGACCGCAAGTGACGGTGGACGCATTGTACCCTGTATTTGTTGCCCAATCTTCATGGTTTTTTATTCATATAAGTTTAGTGTCTTGATCTGTTACACTTTAAGAGATCTCGTAATATTATCTTCTCATTTTGAGGACATTTAATCACGTGACCGGAAGTAAATTTTTGAAAAGATATTTGAGGTTACTCTAGATATTTCAGTCTAAATAACATGTCCTAAGATCACGCAACCGGAAGTGATTTTTTTAAAGATAGTTGGCGTTACTTAAGACAGTTACAGTCTTAATAACATATCCAAAAATCATTACAAATACTGCATCTATAAAAAAATATTTACTGGAAAGAAAAATACTCAAATTATGAAGCTTTTCTCTTATAACTGGAAGTTGTCTTCTTTGTTTCCGGTATTACTGACTTATTTCAAAACTACAAATAAGATGCCATTATGTGATAAAAAAAAGTTTCCATAAGGAAAAGTTCAATTTTTGGACTTCTTTGATCACTTCCTGTGACGACTGGAAGTGACGACAGACGATCTTATCAACCATGGAATTGCTAACTCATCAGGATATACCACTTGCCAAAGTTTGGTGTCTTAATCTCTTACTGTTTAAGAGATCTAGCTATAATAATATCTCATTTTGAGGACAGGAAATCACACGCAACCGGAAGTGAATTTTAAAAAAAATAGTTGATGTTACTGTAGACATTTGCAGTCTGAATAACATATCCAAAACAGTTGCAAACACTTTATCTATAAAAAATATATATTGGAAAGAAAATATTCAAATTATTCAGTTTTTCTCTTATAACCGGAAGTTGTCGTTTTTGTTTCCAGTGAAGCTGATATATTTTGAAAATACAAATAAAGCGCTATAATGTGATGCAATAAACGTTCCATAAAAGAAAAGATGAAATTTCCGATTTTTTTACCACTTCCTGTGACGACCGGAAGTGACGGCGGACAATCTTAACCCATATGTTTTTCCCTTTTCGTCAAGATATACCACTCCTATAAATTTGGTGTCTACATCTCTTACCGTTTCAGAGATATAGCTATAAGAACTGTTCATTTTGAGGACAGGAAATCACGCGACCGGAAGTGAATTTTCCAAAGATATTTGATGTTTCTGTAGTCATTTGCAGTCTGAATAACACATCTAAAAATCATTTCGAAAACTTTATCTATAAAAAATATTTATGGGAAAGAAAAATACTGAAAATATGCAGTATTTCTCTAATAACCGGAAGTTGTCGTTTTTGTTTCCGGTGGGACTGACATATTTCGAAACTACGAGTAAGATGCTATAATCTGATGCTAAAATACTTTCAAAAAAGAAAATTTGAAATTTTCGATATTTAAGAACACTTCCTGTGACGACCGGAAGTGACGGCGGACAATCTTAACCCAATTGGATTTGCCTACTTATCAAGATCTATCATCCCTGTAAGTTTGGTGCCTTTATCTCTTACCGTTTCTGAGATCTCACTCGGATTAAATATTTTTGAGAAAAGCGGAAATCGGACATATCTGACGACCGGAAGTGATTTTTGAAAAAATGAAAAAAACGTCTCGGGGTATTTTTATTCTCTATCATCCCTGAAAATTTCAGGAAAATCCGTCCAGCCATCTCTGAGAAATCCTGCCGACAAGATTTGGGGAAAAAAATAATAATAAGAATAATAATAAGAAAAAACAGTAGAATCACTATAAGGTCTTCCGTCTGAAACGGAAGACCTTAATTAATTCAGTGTAATTTACTAACTAAAATACTAAAGATAATTCTGTTTCCAAACCAATTTCTTTTTCACTCTTTGTAAGTTAATGGTATATTAATGTACACATTTTTCAATTTTCAGTAGGTAAATTTTGAAGCCATTCTTTACAATTTTCGTCATGTTTCCCTACTTTCGGTTTAAAAAAAACAATCTACATAGATCCAGATTTTGTTGATAAAAATCTTTTATTTACTAACTTCATCTCCCAATAACACTTTCCCCCCTTTTGTTTAATCCAAATTATATTATTTCAAACAATTATGTAACCCTTTATTGCTCAAGCTAGTTACCTAGTCAGCTCTGTTCGTTCAAGCGAGACGTGATTTCCTACATGTAGGTTTCAGTTTTCACACCTCTGCTGCATTAAGTAAACAAAGGGACTTATCTGTGTACATTGAATAAACAAAGGAGCTAACCAGGACTACACAAATTTTGTACAAAATTCAAAGCCATAATTAGTGATATATTGAATCATCCTCAGGTAGTTTAAATTCTAGTTTGTTCAAATCATGACCCCCTGGGGGGTTAAAATTCAAGCCCCCCATCGTAGTAAACTTTCAGTTCTGATCATATACGTGCTTTTTCCTAGCCGATGTGCTCAGGTGAGCGCTGTGGCCCCTGGGCCTCTTGTTGTATGTAAATTCAGTACATGTAATTTTTCTGCAATTATTCTAGACTGTATTTCTCTTGTTATTTGACATAGATGCTAGGACCAGGTATAGATGATAGTTGTGGTTCAGGGATGTTCGCGGTTCATTTAGATCAGAGACAGAAGAGGACAGACATCCACGCTTCAGCGACACCATTCAGGTTCTGCTAACCAGGCTCTTCCCTGTCAGGAATGAGGTAAAAATGAGGAACAAACAAATTTTGCAGTTGAAAAGTGTCATGAACATGATTTCTTTGTAGTCAGGGTGGAAATGAGCTATTAAAATAAAAAAAAATAAATTACCAAAATCTTTAAATTTTAAGGGATATGCACATTCTTTCAAATCTGTATTAAAAAAAGGAGTTTTTTTTTCTATGCAAATAAACATATTAATGGCATTATTGTATAGAGATTTACTTGTATACAATGTAAGAAGAGAGAAACTGGACAATTTTGAATTACATTATAAAGCTAAATGTTTAAGGCCTTTTTTTTAATTTTAATCCAGATCTACAAGTCTGCTAGTGTGCCAGTGAGGGAGTCCCTAGTGATGACCATCAAAGCCATTCTGCTCCCCCAGGACGACGGGACTTGCCCCCTCCAACAGACTTTGCCTGTGACAGGGGATGGTAACAGTCTCAGTAATCAGGTGTGTCGTGTGGTGGCCAAGCTACAGACCCAAGCCTGTATGGTGCTCGCTCAGTATCTACAGGACATCGAGTTCACTAAGGAGTTCATTCAGCATTGTGGATCCGCTATTGATATTCTGAAGTCCCTGGCAAAGGATTGTAATTCAGGTTTGTCAAATCTTGTTACTCATTTTTTTTTCACTAAATTTTTATTAACAAATGATTAGCTGAGACATTTTA